TTCATGTTAGTGTAGCCTATGGTCCTTTTTACATCCTGCACTTTAACATATGCTGCTTAAAGATCATAGCAAGATTTGCTAGCAAATAGGAGGTGACAGGTTGTTGAAACATGATAAAATAGCAAGAATTTTCAGTGTGATATTGAAAAAGGCAGGAAGGGAAGAGGAGAGAATCTGTGGGCAGCCTGCACTGAACACCATAAGGACCTAAGTCCCCTGTTGAGAAGCAGCAACTGCACAATGCAAGGCTGCCAACTGTCCGGTTAGTGGAGGGATGCTGGAAGGCTGTGCACTCCATTTGTCATGTCCTCGTTCCACCCTAAAACCTGCTGATGGTTGGGAGCTGAGTCATTCAGCTACGTCGTGGATATCTCCATTAGCTTGAGAACTGCTCCCCTGGAAGGTTCTGTCTCTTTTCTCTGGTGATGAAGCAAATCCAGAGGACTACCTTGGATAGATCTTCACAGTGTAGAATGTGATCAAATAAGGTGAAACAAGTCTCATCGTGATCAGGTAGAACTCTGGGTTTCAGAGCATATCTGTGCAACATCTGCCCCAGGGGCATCTGGATCTTGGCTTTATAGAGCTCATCCATGTAGACTAGAATTTGGGGTGAGCTGAGCAAGAATGGCTGAAGGGCCCTTCAAAGTCCTTCACTTCTTAGTCCTGCTGTAGCTGTGAGGGTCACACTCAGTTCCCGTTGACCAAAAAGGTCATTTTTATTTTCACATCAGCTCTTTACCCTCTAGAACGGCTGTCCTCTAGCGGAATCCAGATGTCTGCATAGTGAGCAAGGTGAGTGCACCTGATCCATGTCTGGACCACATCGGGTGCTTTGTGGGATGCACTAAGTGCATCCTCTCGTATCTGGCTTGTGAGCAAATACAGGTCTTCCAGCGGTGAGCACACATCAGTCAGGAACAGAGACTGCAAGATTTCATCATTTGGCTCCTGTTGCAAAAATTATATTTGGACTTGTGAACTCTGAGGAATTCAGGTCTCAGAGCAGAGGAAATGTTGGAATAGGTCAGGCAAGCTGCACTCCCACTGGGTTACTCGGGGCAGTAAATAGCACACATTCCAGGGCAACATCTGATTTTGTGCTTTTACGAGGCAGATGTTTAGGAGAAATGATACGCTGTTTATTTTAATTGCCATCTTCCAAACCTCCTTCGTACATGCGCGCACACATTCTGCGACCATAAATAAGGATTCTTTAGTCTTTGCTGTTATCTGTGTAGTTAGCCCTGTCTTCCATCAACGCCTGGATAGGGCGGTGTACTGCACACCCAATTCTTTTTGCACATCAGTTTTACAGTAGTGTAAATCAACTAGGTCTTGCTCCTTTCTCCACGACACTAGCATAAATCTGGAGTCACTCCACTGACGTCAGGGCTGCAATAGCAATGTAAAGGAAGATTAGCCTGCTTGACTTCAGAGCCTTGCTGCTGATTTACACCAGAACAAGAGCAGAAGTCGTTGGGCTCAGCGTGTACTAGCATTGCATTGCTGAGCAGCAGGCCAAATTTTGCTCTGGGATACGCAGGTGGAAATGCAGAACAACTCCACTGATTCCACTGGCATTATATTGATGAAAATGAGTTTTACCTTAACCACAGTTTGAGTCTCAGGGACCTCTGTGTATATAGTGCATTAGTGAAGGAAAAGAATAAGCCAATGCATTCCCATTTCAGGAGAGTCATATAGGGATGACTTCTCAAGATTTTCCTGCCTTCTATAAGTCTAGAAGTGAAAAACATTGGCTGTAAAAGGGCTTCTCATCCCTCGTGCTGGTGTGCTGAGCCATCAGCCCCCAGACTGCAGATTCAGGCAGAAGGACACGCAAAAGGCAGCCTTGCTTCTCACATATTTGCTCTCCAGGATAAACCTGGGCTGAAAAACCTGTTATCTGTAGGGATTCCCATACAACCTCGCTCTTTAGAAAGACTTTGGCCTGGAGGGTCTGGGTTTCTGGCAGCTGCTGGCTGGGAAGGTATAGGACCAAGTGATTGCCTCAGCCATCAGCAGCTTTGCTGAGTTAAGGTCTGTCAAGACAAGCTGATTTACACCAGCTGGCTGGCAATCTTCTGTTGGCATCTGGCCAACCCTCTAATTGTTCCTAAGTGACTTTCTTCTTTAGTAGCACGCGTTTGCACTGAGTGGCTCGGTTTGCACACAGGGAAATGCAGCCATGGGTAACACAACTGCTTTAAACTCAGTGAGAGTGAGTAGAAGCAGGACCATTTGACCTACTGGGTAGACTGGAGATGTCACAGAGCAGGATAGGACTTTGAGCTGCAGGTAATTAAGCCCTCCACCTATCCTATACCTATATATATATATGTATGTGTGTGTGTATATATATATAAATATATATGTATGTGTGTGTGTATATGTGTATATATATATATATTTTTTTTTTAATGGAGGACCTTCTTTACCCAGCTCTCTTTGCAGAGCAGCCTTCCCTCCACTTGCAGAGGCCACAGGCAGCAGGAGAGCCTGACAACAGTGAGAAGAACTGCAGTCCATCCCTTTCCAGTACTTTCTGTCCCAGGGTGTGCACGCAGCGCTCGTCTACAGAGCAAAGAAAATAAGACTGTTCTGCAAACAGTTGGGGCATAAGGTGGTTCCCAAGGCCCTGCTGTGCCTGTGCAGGGAGGGATGCCTGCTGCGAGGTGCACGTGTGGGACGAGGAGCTCAGGACAGCCAGGTTGACACAAGCTGCTGGTCTCACCAGGGATGGTGCCTGTGCTTGCTCAGAGGCACATGCTGCTCTCACCTCTCTCTCAGTTAGCACACTGGAAAGCAGCCCTGTGTTACTCAGTAGAGAAAATAATTTGAGCTAAGAGAATGCAACCAAATTTTCCCACCCTTTTTGTTCTCTGTAAAGTGATAGCTTAGATGATGAGTTCACTGGCAGGAGAATAGTCATGAAACAAAACTGTGATTGTTGTCATAGAAACCTGACTGTGAAAGTTAAGCTTATCCAATGAAGGAGCAGGAACAGGCCGTAGGACTTATGGGTCCCATCAAAACTAATCTGCATGGCTTGGATTTAGAATACTAAAAAGTCACCATTAGAATAATAATGTAATGAAACCTACAGTTATTGAGAAATATAGACTTCTTTCAGGCTGTTCTTAGTAAGAACTAAGTCAGGACCTTGGGGACTGATCTGTGATGGATGAGCATGTTTAGTTAGCTCCATTACAAGCAACAAAGCTCTTTCCAATTAGAAAAAGAGACAATTAAGTCACAGAGGTTGAGAGAGACAAAGTCAGAAACCTAGCCTTGCTTCAGGGCTCCCTTTTCTGAATGTGCACATGCCATTTGTTCCTCCTCCTCCTTTCCAGATAAACTCTTTCTAAAACTGACTTTGCCCTTGGAGTTTGCAGCGTGGTTCCAGTTTCCTTGCAAGCTTAAAAGCTCCATCTATAGGAGAGTTGAAGAAGAGCCCTTTGGCTTCAGCTCCTTGTAGAGGGCAGAGAGGCTTTCTCAGAGATTCCAGCCTTGTTCTGGAAAGCCTCCAGCACGCTTAGCATAGCGCATTGCAGAATGTCACTGATTTCATCTTTGTTGCTTCATATTTGGGTATGGTTTTCTTCCTCTGTTAAACCTTTGGTTCTGTTCTGCATGTCTATATGGGGCTGAACTGTCGATTGAAATCACAGGAGTTGCGGTAGCTGCTGGTATTCTGCATGGGAAATCTCAAGGATTTTCCAAGAGCTCCTGATTTGTAAGATTTCTGGACCATATTTATGACATTGTTAGGTTTTGATAGCCTGCAGTGCCAGGTATGCAAAACTAAATGATAACATGATTAATATGTCCAAATCATCTAAATCCAACTCATTTAGCAAATCAGTTTTTCCATAGCCTGGCTTAATGATTGCCAGCACCAGTCTACACTTCACTGCGCTAGCTGCACCAGCGGAAGTAGCAGAAGTAATTGCAGTCTGTAGATACTTTTTTTTTTTTTCCCCAAAAGGAGGAAATATAAAAGGTGAGAGACTTTTCTTCCTTATTTTTTTTTCTTCACTGTAGAATTCCCCTTGCCAATAAGTTCTGCAGAGTGCTGTTGATTTTGTGCTCAGGGTTTAACTCTGCATCCTTAAGTGTTACACCCTAACATTAAGAGTTGCCTTATCACTGAATAATCCCATGCACACATATCTTCCCCTGTCATTCTGCCCTGCACATCCACAACCATGGACAGAAGGGGTGTTTCCCTTCCTTTGAAAAAAGCTCAGCCTGCAAAATCCTCCTCTTTGCCTCAGAGAACTCAGGGCTCTTCCTCCCATTTGCTCATATCAGGATGCAGAATAAGCTCCAACTTTCACAGGACTGATTCATTAGACAGCACAGCCAGAGATGCTTGAAGGAGGGAAAAGTGGATGGGTGGACAGGCACTCTGCAGGGCAGATGGAGAGTAGATAGATTTTTTTAAGAAGTGCTGGCAGCTGGCACTGCTGCAAATTGTCTCTTTCATATCAGAACTTCAACTTCCGTTTACACAAGAAATATAACTTCATTTTGGATACTCAAAATTCTTCTGAGGGAGACACTGTGTTCCCAAGGAACAGAAATGTTCTATTTTTCCCTTCTTCAGAATCACTCTGTCTTTAAAAGCTTCTTCCCCCCAATGACAATCTTTGACATATATTTATTAAACTATCACTTTCAAATAATCAAAAGCACAAGCATACAAGTACTTGTTCTTTTCTCAACCTGAAGGTTCACTTCCCGTTTCTTTATTTAATATGTTCTTTATTTAATCTATCATCATTCAGATATATCCACAATCTCTATTCGTGGCTACTTTGGGTACTTTTGGGTATTAAGTCATCCAGCTATCCAGAGGATGCGTTCCCTACTGAATGCTTTTGTAGATCACTCAATTAGATAGCTATATACCTCCTGGCTTTGGTGTTTGAATACTCCTTTATCCCCAATGTCTACTGAACTGATTTTTTTTTCTTCATTTCTCTGTCCCACAGAGATCCCAAGGTGTCCAGGAATGGTTGACAGCTGAATGGGTTGATGAACTCTCTTCCTCACCATCCTGAGCTCATGGGAGCTCTGAAGAGATCAAGCAGGAGCACGGCCTCACTTCTCTGAGACTGGGGATGCTGTGGGAAGTAATTGCCTTGGCAAATGTCTTCATCCCAACTCATAGCCCATAGTCCATCGCTGGAGGAGAAGCTGATGAAGGATTAGCAGAGGACCAGGAAAAGCTCTACCAGCACTTCAAGCAGCAAAGGACATAGATGAGGGACCAATGCTAAGAGAAGCATTTTCCATCACTGCAGATGAAACCCACTTCATTCTGGGAAGAAGCCTAAAGACCCCTGTGAACAAAAGGAAGTGAATGTCCAAATCAGCACAAGGGTGTTGCAAGGTTTCCTTGTCACACTGCCCTTGGAAGGCACTTTTGAAAGTGAAGGGGATAGCAGGACAACCTGGCCCTCTCCAGTGGCTAATTTGGAAGAGATGTGGCAAGGTCACTAATGATCAGGTCAAGAGACCACTAAGTGAGGCCCTGTGCCCTGTCCATGTGCTGGCTAGGACTCAAAATGAAAGAATCTGACCAAGACTAGAAAGAAAAGGCTCGTGGAAGGAAGCTTTGATTGATTCCATGCTTGTTTCTCCTACTGGTGTCTTTCTGTCTGCCTCTCTTTCTCCTGAGGCCTACATGTACTGCATGTGGGGCACAGCAGCCAAGCAGGCAGACGTGGTAGGACAGCGTCCTGCCCAGTGCAGTGCTAGATGGGGCTGACACTGCACAGTGCAGACGTAACCATGGCCTTCATATGTTCTTTATACCAACGAATCCCAAACTGGAGTGCCTGGACTTAGAGGAAATAGAGGCTCAAGTCTAATGATGCTTAACTTGCAAGGAGCCACATGCTAACATCACCAACCACGCTGAGGAGCCAAGTTTGAACACTGAAGCCCCAAAACATTGCAGAACATCTGGCCTTTTCCTGTGGCTGTTGAAAGGAGCATGTGGAAGAGCCAGACACTCAGTTCCTGAATCTTGGACTTTTTAAACTTCATTCAGCTGAGAAAGAAACAGGATGAGAAGGAGTAAAAGAAACCCAGACAGGAAATGAAAGGAAAAAATGGTTGCAACCCATAGGAAAACTCGCACCTCTTCATTACAAAAGGTGTCCTAGCTGTCGACTGTTGTGCCAGCTGCGACGCTGCAGGTCCCTGCTCCCCGAGCGGCTCGCAGACCCTGGATGGGACGTGCCGGCACCAGGCTCTGCCTTGCACTTTCTGTCTCTTGGGCTTCCAGCGCCAAACCCATCCGTCATGTGCAATTGTATTTATTTATTTATTTATTTTCTGGCTGCTTGATGCCACGCTGCTACTGCAGCGTGAAAGAGGAAGGAGCAACGTGCTGCGTGTTTGCAGAACGAGGTGCAGACCAACACTCGCCCTCCCCTATGCGCGGCCTCAGTGAAATAAAAGCCGAGCGTTTCATTGCAAAAACCAGGTCTGTTGGAAGTCTGTGCTCAGCATATGTTAGATGGGGCTAAACCAGCTGAAGGGCTAGCGGGGGACCCCTGCTCTTGCCAGAGACCCGCAGCAGGTCGTGCACGCGTGGGCCGAAGCGTGGGCGAGGTGTCATGGGCAGCCCGGGAACACGTGTGTTTGAGGAGGAACTGCCTGCTGCTACAGCAGAAATACGTTCCCTGGGCTGACTGCAGGAGTTTGATCCTTTGGGAATTAAGAGCAGGCTAGGCACACTCCTTTTGGGAAGGACAGCGGGACAGCTACAGGCTGCACAAGTTCTGCAGAGCCCTGGTGGCCCGATTTTCTGTTTGCAGCTGTGACTGCTTATATGTCTCTGAGTTGCTCCTAATTCAGCCCAAATCCGGATCTCCCCATACAATACTGAAGCAAGCTCACTATCCATACATATTGTGCATACAGCTTGCATGCGGGAGCTCCGAGCTGGCCGTATCCACAGCCGGGCAAGCTGAACCAGCGTGCTGCAAGGCAGGCACAGATGTTTAAACGCCTGATATTCTTTTCCACGATTTCAAGAAGTGATAATTCATTTAGAGACCCATTTAACACCACTGGTTTGAGACAGGTGGGCTTGAGACTCTCTGTGTGAATGCCGTAGCTGTTTATGCCCAGCCTTGGCAGGTCCCCCTTGGCTGAACACTGCCACACTGGCAGCAACTATGCACAGTCACATATCCCACTGCATGAAAATCCCGATGCAGAAAGGCTACGTTTCTGTGGGAGAGGGCTGCTCTGCCCTGCACTCCTGCAGCCCCCTCGCTTGGGCAGGGGCGCCGGGGCTCCCTGGCCCTGCCGTGGCCCTCGGGGCTCCACTGCTTCCTCATCCCTCCCTCTGAAACGCTCTGCCACAGCCCTGTCCAAAATGAGGCGGCTGCCAAATCACAATCTTTCCCAAGAAATGTCCGTTTCCTCAGAAAAAAATCCTAGCTGTCTTGGATCATGTATTCTGTGCTGGAAACACTGCCCTTGGGATTAGTTTTCAGGTTGGAAAGACACACAGGATCTTTGTAGTTCCTTTTCTTACAAATCTTCTCTTGTGCAGGAGCAGTTTGCAGCAGCTGAAACAGATTCCCTTTCTCTGATAATTTGCCAGCATGGCCTGAATGCAGTGACCAGCTTATTGCTTTTGTTTCCTTGCGGAGTTATAAGAACTGGTGATGGAAAAGATGTATAAGAATCCATCTGCCCATAGCCACTCAGGTCTGCTCTATATATTTCATTTCCTAGTGATGTGCTGAGCCTATTTTTAAATGCCCCTGGCACCAGGGTTATCATTCTGTCCCTTGGGAGACTGTTCTGTAGTTCCAATCAGGAGCTGATATTAGAATTCCACCAGCATTTCCTCCAGGAAATTTCATTATTTCTAGTGATCGCATGCTGTGATTCTGTGACACTTGCTCTTCCTCACGCCCTGATCAAGCTTTACCACTTGCTCTGCTTTCATCTTTCCTCCTCAGAGAACCTCTCCAGCTCCCCAATTGCTGCTGCTCTCAGTCCTTCCCACACCTTAGCCCAGAATTAGCCTAATTGCTCGTTAATGCAGCCATGAAAGGCCTGTCAGGGATCTGCACTCACTGGCAAGGTAGCAGGACCTCTCTGCAGTGCACTGAAGTTAGCACAAGAGCCAAGGAAGCCTGCGTGGCACAGCCAAGGTGGGAGCACAGAGATGTTTCTGAGAAGCAGAACAGTTTATCCTGGTGCTGCCTTGAAATCCTTGCTGTTGGATGAATCCACAGCCCTGCAGTGATGGACCCTGCACCCCCGGAGCAGCACGGACGCCCAGCAGCCCCCGTGAGCTCAGAGCAGGGGCGCGTGGAGCGCTCGCCTTGGCACGCTGCGAGTGCAGCACTCGGGCAGAGCACTATTGTGAGTGGAAGTGCTCTGTTCCCACCGAACAACTTGTTCCTACCAATAAAGTATGAAAAGTGCTTCTTTTCAGTCCCTCTCTCCTCTCTTTTTTTTTTTTTTTTTTAACCACATTTTTTTTATCGTGCAGCACGGGAGGAAGAGGCTGCACCTGGAGAGCAGGAGCAGCAAGTCATTGTGCTGCCTTAGGTGTGAGGATGGCCGGAGGGGAGATCCCTGGAGTTCCCTAAGCCAGAGGCTGAATGCTGACAGACCAACCGGAATTGAAACGTAATAAGCACCCAGAGAGGATTGCAGAGCTGCTCCAAGGAGTTTGCTTCTGCAACGTAGGTAGCAGATGCAGCATCTATGGGAGCTGAGGGAACAGAGCTGTGGGATGAGGCTGGAGGGGAGGCAAGAAAAGCAGCTGGGGTAGGTACAGCCCTGGCACCTAATTTGGAGCAGATGTGCAGGACAGGTCAAAGAAGCAGGAGGAAAAAAAAATCAGAGGGGATGTTGAGGCTTCCAAGGTTTTCAAAGGATCAAAGTGGAGGTATCTGGAGTTTCCCTTCCGTGTGATGGCATTAGGTCCTGGGTGCAAGTTCTCTGCACAAATGTCAGGTCACTGGTGCAGCAGGAGGCTCCTTCCTTGTCCCCCTGGAGTCCCCAGCTGTTCTCCTATGACTTGGGGCAGTGACAGCATTATAGCTTTCCAGAAGCAAATTTCAAGGGAAGTGTTTTGTCCCTGTGCACCGGAAGAGTGAAAATGACACATTTCCAACAATTCATAATTAGACAATTAATCATTCCAGTTTTAAACATGGAAGGGCTGGAGAGCCTCGGTCCATAAAGATGTTCAAGTCAGAAGTTTTGCATTGTGTTTTGCCTGCAACTGTCCTCTAGTGCTTAGAGAGCACACGGGATATCAGGAGCATCTATGCTATAGTCCAGGTCCACTTAGTCCTGGGACGAGTCCTGTGGTGAGAGCAGCATGAGATACCAGAGGTTTTTGGTATGTCCTTAATCAAGGACATACAAAGATACAGCCTTTAATAAGGCAGGAGAGCTGTGTAACCACAGACGTCCACTTAGCAGTGTGGTACTATAAAACCACTCAATATCTCTCATGCCCTGCTTTCTAAGGACATTTATGAAGTCCCCTCAGGCACAGACGTGTCTGGTGCAGACCAAAGCACCTGCACGTCCACCAGGAATGAGGTTTGTCAGATCTCTGCAGGCCTTCAGGATGGGTTTTGCCCATGCCCCAGACTTTGTATTTGATTTTGTTGGGCTCCAGGATTGGCTCTGCGTTTCATTACTGGGCAAATAGTGTTTCACTGAGCCTGGTTTCCTGAGAGCACCATCTTACTGTCTCCAGATACCCCATAACGTGTCCAAATAGCTTTCTGAAGTTCCTAAACCTTTAAAGCCATCCTGAAAAAAAACGCTGTGAGGAGATCATATTGCAGCACATAACTGCAATAAACCTTCTCTTCATCCTTTCTTGGTTAGAGGTATGAACATGAGTTATGGCAGTTTAAAGCTCTTCAGAGCAGCATGTAAAACTGCTTTCCCAAACGGCTGGAGAACCTTGCTGAGATGTCAGTGCTCACAAATGCTGCTGTCTGAATGGGGCGATTTTACGAGTCCATTTAATCCTTCCAAGAATTGCACGCCTGCCTGTGCCTGCACCGTACAGCACACGCTCTTTGCTCCCTGGCTCCTGGCCTGCTGCCCATTCAAGGCTCTGGCACTGCGATCTCTTACACCAGATGAGCAGCCTCATAATTTGCAAATATAGGTTAATAAAAGACACCACATCTGGCTAGTGTTTGTGCTACTGGGCCAACAGCAGAGGCCACATAGGAGTCAGGGGCTTCTCATGTGTTGAGTCCTGTTGAGTGTCCTGTTGAGTCCTGTTGTTTCTGGGCACAGGTTTTCCTGGCGGAGTGCAGTGAAATTGAGGAGACCATGCCACAAATGACTCAAACATGGTTGCTCCATTCCATAACCACATCTTCCCATTCTGGAGAGCTCCCATGTTTAGCATCCTTGCTAAAATCATATACCTGGGCACTAGCTGCTTGTCCTGCCTTATCCTGCCTTCAGGGACGCGTGTCTCTTCTCAGGATTCTGTCCCAAAGGGCACTGCTGGCACAGCACCAAGGGTGTTCCTGGTCCTGTTCTACAGCACGACCAGCCCCAGCTCGTGCCGTTTGCCTTGCCGAGGCTGAAGCTGATTTCTGCATCCTGTAGACACATTTGCTTTCAGTTCCGTAGGCACAAAGCCTAGCAAATGCTGCACTAAATAACTTTGCTAATTTA